AAAACACACAACATCTATTTACAATTTTGGTAAAAAATTCATGTGCAACCTTTTTCCGATAGCTATTTTCACTGTGCGGCGAGTTTCGGATCGGAATCAAGACAGAGACACCCCCGCTCCTACGCGGCAGCCACGCACAAGGACGAAAATCGTAAAATTCATGCAATACTTTCCACTCGAAAATATATAGTATCGTTGGAGATTCTGAAACACCGCAAACGAAAAGCGCCTTTTCGGCACCCAACCACACCGAATGGAGTACATTTGGCAATAAGGAACCAATATTTCTGGCCCATACTAGAAACAACATGTATGCCATTGGTTTCCTTTTGCTGAGAGGTGGTTTTAGAGAGGAGCCAGAGATAGTGGTTCCATATTGCAAAATGTAATCCAAAATTATGTGTAGCCATCTTCGGCTTTGAAGCAACAACAATAGATCGTATTCGATACATCAAACGGGTGAGATTGTATCGATATCGATTGATTCAAATCATAAACAGAGCCTCAAAAGTTAATTGCACTGGAAAAAAAAAGAAAAAAAAAAACATTGGATCTAGAGTCCAGACTCTTGAAAACATTGACAAGAAAAAATACTCTTGATTCAATCGGATTTTTGCTTGAATCAAAACGAAATCCGCTTAAAGTAAGAGGCTTGGTTCTTGATTTAACCTAGATTCTGATTGAATCAAGAGTACTTTTTCTTGTCGATGTCTTTAAGAGTCTGGACTCAAGATCCAATGTGTTTTTTCTTCCAGTGTGAGTAACCTGACGGAACGGGTTTTCAGTGATAGATTTTTTATTCGTAGGATGAGTACTAATTGACCGAGAGAAGTGACATTACAACGAAATTTCTCATTTTCAGCTTTTCTAACTGATATCCTAAAATTGTGGTTTGCAGATTATCTTCGATTGTTTTGAACCGAACGATACATCGAACCGCCATCGAATGCAATCTATATTTTTGTATGGCTCGAGGTCTTGGTGAGGTGTCAACGACGACAAGGTTGAGATCCACGCAGCGTCGCACTGGGCAGCAACAGTTCCAGAAATCCTAAAGCGACTTCCTCACGCGTGTAAATTCTTCACACACTACACCCTCACACACGGTGCGGAACTGATGCGAGACAAAGTGGCGTTACTAACTAACGCTAAAATTCGCGCTTCAACCTACATAGCTCTCGGCTGAATATTCCCCGTTTAATCCGCTTGGTTACCGGTGCGCTTCTTAAAATCATGACGTTTCACTTAAAAAAAAAACGCTACGACTCCGAGACCCATGAAAAGTGGCTCGGGTATCCATATTTTTCAACTGAAGTGACTTTCCAGCTAAAAGTCATACTTCATGGGTCATGAATCCATAAGTATGATATACTTGGACTGCGTCGAGCTAAAAGGAACCAAGCCACACCAGCTTCTGCCAACTTTGATATTTTACATGTAAACGATTGTGCGGATTTTAGTGCAAATTGCAGTGAATTTCCTGCTTAAATCAAAGCAAATGCCTAACAATTTTCAAAAAAATCCCCATAAACGTTCTCGCGTGAAAAATTAAAATGCCCGCAGTTATATTTGGCAATACCGAATGTATTTTGGATCCTCTCTACTAAACGCGATCAATTTATACGGCGGCGCTTATAATCCATTACTCAACCGGTAAGTCCCTCTTACCGTACTTTTTATGAGCATGTAATTCTTCCATTTTTCAATCTTTTCCCCCTGAAAGTCAAAAGCGCATTATTTGATGAGAACCCAAGGAAGGTTTCCTCTTACCAATGAGAATGGTCATGGTGTATTTGACTTTCAATTAAGTAAGTGGCAAAACTGAAGGAGGACACGTTGAAAATTTCGAGGTCGTGGAGTGACACATTTCCACTTTTAACTCAAAGATCCACGCATATTAGAAGCGTAATCTCGAGAAAATGTCTGACGTCATTTAGTTTTTTTTATCTTTCAACTTGGTATTCTAGACCACTTCTTGCTCCATTACGGAAATCGCGACTCGAAAGTTTTAAAAAAATTCGGGAATTTTCCGCTTTTCCGGGACCGCCTGAGCGAAAGCAAAACATTGAGCATGGTCTCTGTGTAAAACTCCTTAAGCAAGCGTCCTTCTTTTCACGCATCGAAACAACCTTCCCCCACCGCACCATACTGCTGTGCTGAGGAAGATCGCTTTAGGAACTTTCGAGAGTTGCCAAATTTCCCCCGATAAAACATGTATTTTTGACGACATTCATGCACATTTTTCTTTGAAATTTTTATATATTTAAGATTGAATTGCGTACGAAATTGTCTGAAAATTTTTGAAAAAAATATTCACAATATTCCCTGTAAATTCGGTTTGAATTGAAGAAAATTTGGCAACGTCTGAAGGCTCATGTGACGTTCTTCCTTAGCACGGCAGCATAGGATCGCAAAGTGTGAAAATGATGTTTGTCGACTCATCCTGGCGAGCCCTCGACACAGGTAAATCAAAAATATGATAGAAACCGCAAAAAAGGGGCCCGTCTTTCATTAACGAGCCATTCCACGGGTCGCCGCTGGGGGGCGCCTATAAATTAGGCTCACAAATCACAGGATGGCGGGGGCGCTCCGCCCTCGTGTCACACTGCCGTGCTAAGGAAAAACGCCGTATGAACCTTCAGGCGTTGCCAAATTTCTCTCGATAAAACCCGGATTTCCTGGTAAACTTATGAATATTTTCCTTCCATTTGTTCAGATAATTTCGTTCGCAATTTCAGCTAAAGTCCCTGAAAATTTCAAGGAAAAATATCCATAACTTTCCCCAAAAATAAACTTTTTATCGAAAGAAATTTGGCAACTCTCGAATGTTCATACGGCGTTCTTCCTTAGCACGGCAGCACAGGACGGGGTCTCGGAAAATGAGATCCGGGAGCTGCAACTCTTGCAATACGGGTCTCTCCTATCCCTCCAACTTTTCCTGGAAATAAGCCGCGAGGCGCATGTTCACGCCTTGCGGAACGCAGTGAATTCAAGACATTGGCAACTGTTTCGTTGGCAACACTGTTAATGCTCCATTTGAATCCATGCAGAACAATCGATCAGCGATTCTTCGAATTGGCAACACTGTTTTTCCTACGTTCTCAATTTAAATACCTTATAAAAATAGATTCCAGGTGTCAAAGGCTGTTTCGATAGAGATCGAAGACCACAATTCTATCGAGCAAAATTTGACTGTTCACACAGCATTTTCCCTTTACACGGCTGATCTGCCGTGCTCAGGAAAAACGTCGTGGAAGCCTTCAGACGTTGCCAAATTCTTTAGATAAAATATTAATTTTCAGGGAACTCTATGAGCATTTTTCTTTGAAATTTTTGGAGAATATCATTGGCGACAAAATCGAAAGCAGCTGAAAATTTCAGGAGACAATATTCATGACCCCCCGCAAAAATAAGCATTTTATTGGAGGAAATTTGGCAACTCTCGAACGTTCATACGGCGTTTTTCTCTCGCACGGCGGTGTTATGAATGGACTCTTTCAGATGTAAGTTGTGACACTTTAACAAACCTTTGCAGCAGGCACGCAGCACACAACCCATCGGGCATAAAATTAAAACCCTTAAATAATGCGGGGTGCAAAAAATGCTCGCAGGAAAACGTTAAGGCAAAGCTTGAGTCTTTAAACAATTTTCAAAAGCGAGGACCTTTCTTCATTTTCATTTTGTGCTAAAAACTTAATCGAAGTAGGGCAAATTGCAAGTTTTGCAGTGAAATAAGACATAAGTCCATGAGGCAAAAATGCCGGATCGCGGCTAACGGTCGGCAATTTGAAACTTTTCACACCTGTGGTTAGAATTTCCATGTTTAATGGTGAAGTTGGCAACTGAGGTCGGAGCCGAAAGATTGATTCTCGAGGAATGCTTTGTTCGGCTACCGACGGAAGTTTACAAAACGGCTCAGTTTCCGGAAAAACGGATGCGCGCCTCGTCTTGGGCTCACCTGACAAAATCTGTTCGGGCCTTTTGTCCTCGGCTATGATACAGCGGTTGACGCTCGAGGGGTTGCGGGATATGATCTGCTAACCTCTGCTATGCTAAGAAAAAAACACGCGTGATCTGCCAAACCCTGGTAGAAAATGCATTTTTTAGTAAATTTAGGAATATAATTTGTTTTTCGATATTTTCAACCAGGTGGGCCGCGTTTAGCGGTAAGGAACCAAGCAACACCAGTTATTGGTAAATTTAACTGGGCAATTTCATATTTTACAACGGACGTTTTCGCGGATTCCACTGAAAATTTGAAGGGATTTGCTTCGTACCTTAAAGAAAATTCACTGAAATTTAGCAGTAAGCAGTTAGCAGTAAGCAGTTTGCGGAAGCCTTTTCACATGCAGAATGGCATGCTGATGAATGTTAATGCGCGCACTTTTTTCTTTACCTTTCGTTCGAGTCTCTCTCTCTATCAAGTACGAGAAAATAATAGTGTTTGCACCTCGCACACTTCGGCAGCGACACTAAGTAACTGCGCAATGGAGGCTCGTCAAAAAGACGTGTATACAATGGGCGAAGATATCATTTGTCTACTACGTTTTGTCATATCTCTTGATTCCACGGAAAGAAATCCGATTCATCGAATAAGTGGAAAATAGGCAATTGAGGGCAATCCTTTAAGTACTCACGATTTTTCACGTACTCACGAAGGGAGTGTTTATTCTTTTTCTGAGATATTAGCACTGTAGTTCGCTGATTTCACTGTGAAAGCACGTACATACTGTTGAGCGAACAGAAAGATAGCAATTCAATTGTTCTAAGAAAAAATATCTAATGAATATTCGAATGTTACCGAATTTTCCTTCTTAGATTATGTCATTTTGAGAAATGTTGAAACGGTTAGAAAATTAGTGAAAATACAAGGATGAGGAAATTCCCAAGTTTCGCAGGGAATTCCGATTAACTACATCTGAGGAAATTTAGCAACGTCTGAACCCTCATATGACGTTATTCCTTAGCACTGAAGAATATACACGAGTATGAGAACTTACCGGCACACATTCGCACTTGATACAATACTTCACTCCGATGAGAGGTCCCAAATCAGGATGCCAAGAGCTTCCAAGTTCCTTAAATTCTTCTCCGAAGAGACATTCTGAAACAGAAGAACAATTGCTATTAATTCGTCGTATTGAACGTACAAGGAAATGGTGTAACGATGGCGAAAAGACGAAACCGCGTATCTCGGTTTGCGACGTAGTAGATTTCTAGTCACGTTCAACTTTCCTGAAGGCTGACTGATAGTCGTTATCAAACATATAGTTCCGTATTTGATGAAAATTCAGACCTTTAAGAAGAAAGGTGGTGTTCATAAAATACGTCATATTGAAATTCTGACTTTAGATATATTCCCCTTAGCTTTAGTCACACTCTCGTGATGGAGGTCTGAAAATCGGCCGAGTAGAACAGCAGGCCGAACTGTGACAAAAAATGTAAATTTTAGGGGGTCAGAGAGCTCGTAGTAATGATATTACTTTTCGGTAAATTGGAGGGCTTTCGTAAGACTGGGCTTAACTCCATGGACTCTCCCCCCCCCCCTCCTTAAGGGACTTATTAAAATCTTGAACAACCCCCAACCGTGGAAATGGCGTGTTATTCACCGCGCATCATCTATTAATTCTGGTATTGCCTAGAAGAAAATCCATTTCCGTGTGGAGGTGCTGATGAAATTCGGCCCCAGATTCAAAAGACCGAGGGTCGGGCACCAGAGCGTCTGTTGGGATGAAACACGAGCCGGCACGTCTAGACGGAAGCTAGAGAAAAATTCCGCGGCGCCACGGCGACTCAAGAGCAGGACTCGCAGACACTTGGGGGATCGCGCGCGGGCGGCTATCGCACCGCAGATCTTCAGAGGCGCCACGCCGCGCCGCATAGCGACCACATAGGCGTCGCCTTGGCTCTCCTCCTCACTTTCGCTGGGGCTTCCACGGCCTTTGCATCATGAGGATATGTCGCAGGCAAATAGTCAAATCAGGAATTTTGTTAAATGCCTGAGCAAAATGTTAAACATTCTTATTCAGGCTGAAATTCTAATTAGTTTGCTAGACTGTATACGAAATAATTCCCTGATCGTGTGGAAAAGAATTCCCTGTAAAAACTTGTTCCATACGATCATAAATACGTTTTTTCTGGTTCTTAAATGCGAATTTATCTCAGAATATGCAGCATTTCGTTTTACAATTTCGACCGATAAAAAATTATGGGGAGCATTTTAGAACGGGAAATAAAATGACAGTTGGTACTTTAACGGATATTTTGTCTCAAAATATTGATTAAAGAGGTCTCTGTGACGACGTGAAAACCTCGTAAACTCTGAAAATTTAAGTATCCGCCCAGGCATTGGGTAAAATGCCTGATTTGACTATTTGCCTGCGATAGATACAATTGGATAGCGTTTAGCAGAGAGGAACCAAAGCCACATTCTATTGCCAAATTTGACTGGGCAATTTAATTTCTTACGTGAAAACGGACACGCGGATTTTGGTGCGAATTTCAGTGCGTTTCTGCATAGTGCAAGACCAATTCTTTAAAATGTTTCGCACCAAAGGAGTCCGCACGAACGTCCCTAGTAAAAAATTACATAGCCCAGTTTTTGGCAATAGCTGATGTGGCTTGGTTCCTTTCTGCTAAACGTGGTCCAATCGGACTTGGCCTCTAAATTGGATTACAATGAGTAGAGGGGGGAGGGGTAGGCTTGGAAGGGTTTTTTCCAAGTGTTTTGCAGCGTTAAATGAAGGGGAACTATGGCTGGAACTAGGAAATTCATGTGGGAGGGGGGGAGGGGCAACCCAGTATTTGGAATCTGTAGGACTCCTTCAGCTCCAAGGAGAGTTCAATGGATTTCCTTGGCGCCAGAGATAGGTTCATGGGGCCACCTCGGGGAAATTTTGCAAAATTTAGTCGTTTCAACAGCATTTTTTGCTGTTGTTTCAAAAAATTGATCGCATTAAGTACAATTTCAAAGGTGAAAGACATGTTACGCCCTTACTCAGAAAAATCCCAAACATTTCCTCAGAGGAGCCGAGTAGATTTCTAGAGGGGGCTGGGGGGCAAGTTTCCCCTATATTTACCCATGGGCAGGCTATGGGGGCGAGCGTACTGAATTCTCAGTACCTATTAAAAACGATTGCAAGGTGTCTACCGTCTACACACTAGGCGGACATTTTGCAATAAGGAATCACTATATTTCGCGCCCATTATAGAAACAACATACATGCCATTGGTTTCCCAATAGAGATATGTGCTTCTGTGGGAGAGTCGAAGATAGTGGTTCCTTATTGCAAAATGTAATCCATTTGTGCTAGATGTTGTCTTTCAAGCGTGCTGTTTTTGGGGAAGAAAATAGCTATCATGCAAGTTGTTTTATTTGCTGGGAGTCTATTAAGCGTCCTGCTAGTGGGAAAGATACTTTTAAGCGCGCTGTTTTACTCGTATAAATGCTGAAAGTCCTCCAAGCGCTACTTCTAGGGAAGGAATTTGTTAAGCGCGCGTAAAGGTGCAATTAAATGATTCCAGCAAATTTTGGGGAAGGCAAATTACGAATTGGGGAAGGGTACTTAAGAACTTTCTGCAGCCCTGCTGCGAATGACAGAGAAAAATTACTTGAAACTTTTCTTTTCAGATATTAATCATTCAATGAACTAAAATTGCAATTTCTCATTGAAAATCATTCCTGTAGTCACTGTATAAACTCAGAGCATTGACCCCCAAACCAGACTGAAACTAAGTTTGATTGGGTGCTTAGCACCGATGTCTTTCCAGATTTAAGCAAGGGTTCAAGATTTTTCAGACGTCCGGTCTTGTCAAAACATCCCCTGACTTTTCCCTGATGCTTTCCCAGACCTAATGAAATTGTGACTCTGACTTCTGAAAGGTCCCTCCTCTCTCCCTTGGATCCGCCCATGAAACATCGAGCGATCAAACAAATTTTTCTCGCCATCGCATGCTTTCAGCTTGGTTGTGGACCGAAAAAACAGATTATTTCTAGAAAAAATCGAGTGAAATGCGCCTGTGCACGTAATCTATCCATTTGTTGCCAAAATTTTAAGCTGAACCTATTGTGTTATTCGGCAAAGTTTGTTCGATACCTCGATTTTCGCTGTAGATTCACTCAAACCATCGAACTTGTCTACGTTGGCGAGCTCTCGTCAATTTACCGACGCGCTCACCGGTCGAAATGGTGAAAACAATAGGTACTAGATTCGAATCCTGATCCAAAACATATGTGTCTTTCGTAGATGTTAAAAATGTAGAGTTTGTGCTCTTTTTCCGGCTGAATTTACAGGCTTTGATGACGAGAATGCTTCCATGCGTGGGTGGAGGTGATTCAGAAAATGAGGGACGTAAAGTCTATTCTCGAAATTTCCGAAACGTTACGTTGATTTAGGTATAAGTAAAGGCTTCTAGAGTTGTCTTAGGAAGACCAGGTATGTTAAGCATACTGAAGAGTACCAAGCTATAATTTCTAGTGCAAAAGATGAGTGAAATGGTGCTGGCCAAGAACCCAAGTACATTTGGGTGGCACAAACCTGATTATTCAAATTTCGCAAAGTAAACACGCAAGAAACTCGACTACACACAGAGGTTAAAATCCAACCAAAATTAGTAAGGTGAATTGGTCAGTGCCGAAGTAGGTAGGTAATATCGTTCGAGGAATTGCCTCTCCCGTGAACATTCAACCTTCCACGGCTCAATGCAGAAAAATCGAGTCGGGAGTAAAGAGGGATTTCCGAATTTCAAGAATCATACAAAGCCATTACCTATGTACTTAACCATGCACCACGAATGACAGCATTACCTGACTCCCAGTCATTGTTGATGAGCACGCCGAGCAATAGAATCGTCAAATAAATATTGGGGAATTTGCATACTTCAGATATGTAGCCAGTGCAAGAGAATGCAGATGGGTACGAGACAAGTTGAAGAAAACAAGACAAGCTAGGGAAACAAGAGACTAGTTGGTGGATAAAAACAAAGTCACTCACCAGAGCCTTCGTACTTGTCGATCCGTTTCTCGTGCGATTTCAGCGGTACTTCCTTGGCTAGCACTTGAGCGAAAATGCTCATCAACACACACAAATAAATCATTGTCTGAGGAAAAATAAAAACATAGGTGACAGAAAGGTGTCAAAACACAAGGGGAACGCGACCACTTGTCGGCGACGTCTGGCACGTGGTGCGGCGCGGGTGATGGTTCGGCGACTGACCGACTGACGGAAATTCACGAAGAAGGGGTGGGGAGGCCCCGAGCGCGCACGCACTGCGCCGAAAACCAGCGAGCGCGCCTCTTCGCCAGGAATTTCCAGGCCGACGGGGAGGAGAGGGGAAGGAGGAGTGGATTGAAAATGAAAAGATTCAAGCGAGAAACTTTATGATACGGACACTTCGCACCTTCCACGTCCGATCTTGGGATTTGATGAGCCGATTGAATGGAAACCTTTCCACCCTCGGGCCTAGCGGTATGACCTGCGACCTCCGCTGCAACCTCAGCCTATGCATGCACCGCTCCAGTCTCCACCCCTTCGCGAGAGGCTATCGTCCACCGTTGCCGTCTATGGAAATTATTTCTCAATACTACCTTTTGTAAGTAAAAAAATCGTATGAGCACTCAAATGTTGTCAAATTTCCTCTCAAAATATAAGTTTTATTGAAGATTGTCATGAGTATTTTTTCCTTGGAATATTCAGACTTTTTAGATCAAATTGAGAACGAAATCCTATGAAAAATCGGACGGAAAATATTCGCAAATTTTCCTGAAAATCCGTGGTTTTTGAAGGAAATTTGGCGACGCCTGATGGCTCATACGGCGCTCTTCCTCAGCACCGCAGAATACAGCCAGCCAGAGTCGAGAAATACTTATCTCCAAAAATGAAACATAATATTGAAACATGAGGGAGTTTTACAATATCGTAAAGGAAATGTGCATTTTTGCATAAGCACATTGAAATTGACCTTCCTCGTTGGAATCATGAATGAAAAAAAAAAAATATATATATACGTACTTCATAGCCCTTTAAATATTTTTGGAGGAGCTTGGTGAAGCGTATAAACTCTGCATGTTTAATGGATGTTGATGGCAAAACTGCGTATCTCCATTTGCGACGTTGCAGACTTCCCGTCATACTTTATTGTCTCTTTAGGAAACTAGTAAACGTGATTTCCTGAGAACTTCCAATATTTATTTTCCCTGTTAGCAGAATATTCGGTATAAATTTCAAGCTAAGAAGATGACTTGTTTCTCCTAAAAAAAAAATAATAATAATAAAAAAAATAAAAATAAATAATATGCGCGAGATTTTGAAACACCGCAATGAAAATACGTGGCTTCGCATTTTGACCATCGATGTCTGATCTACCTTCACTGCACATTCGTAAGTATTTTAATCCTAGTGGAAATAGTTTTCTCTTCTTCAGTATGCAAACGATCATTACACGTTGAGGAACCTAAAAAGAAATGAAATAAATTGGAAAGCTCCACGCAAGTAAATTCTAATGTCTAATTTTAGTGTTCATCACTACTTTCCTTACCAGTTTATGCATGATGTGAATATGAATTCGGAGTTTAAAACTCTCTTCTCTGCGCCGCGCCGCGGATGAAGCGGTGAGTTGGAAAGTCAAAACGCCTTCACTTCAGCGTGTATGCAACCTAGACATCCGGAGAGTTCGAATAGTTGCATCCAGGCGCTATGATATAATTCGTTGAATGCTCGTTGCGTTGTGTGGCATGCATTACAATAATTGATGAGACTTTACTTGTTTCTTTCACACCCTGACTTGATTCCAGCGTTGCCTATCGTGTTGCTGAAGTAAACTATTAGTGATATTTGGCACGACATTGTCAATTTTCCGAAAAATGCATTGATTGTTCCAATGTAAAAATGTTCTCATTACTGGAAAATTTAGGAGACATAAAATAGGATTCTTCTATACGGTAAATTTTAAGTGACGGCATTACGTTGGGCACGTTACTTTTTCAGTAACTATCTAAATAGCCACGTTTGAATAAGATGGCATGGTCTTCTACGTCAAATTTTGTCAATTGACTATTAGCCAACTGAAACCTGATTTCCCTCTCTTTTTCAGTGCACTGCTCAGACGATGAGCTTCAAGAATATTATTAAATTGGGGTTCCATGTTGCGAAACTTAATAGATAGCATAAGAAAACGTTAGCATGCAATTCGTTTAAATGAATTTGAAATAAATAGTTTAAATTTATTCACAATAGATCGTTTTTGGAGGAGTTTGTCGGAAACCAATTCTGATCAAATAGGTACTTAATCGCGCACAAAATAAATTCATACATTTATTCAATTATTTTTTACTATGTTTTGAACTTACTTGTTTGTGTAAGACTTTAGAACTTATCCTGCCAATAACGAACATGTTTATACGATATTGGTGCCGTGATGCCAACAGTGAACCATCTTGTTTTTCTCCTAACATGGTATCAACATGGCTCAAAAGCCGTGGTGGTAACGCCCCAACGCATCGCATAATAAGCTCACTCGTCAGTATCTTAGAGAGTCTTTGAGCAATCTTGATAACAATTAGGTCCCGAACATTGAAAAGGTACATAAATTGACTAAAACTGCCCGGTATAGCTTTAGGTAAATTTTGATATCTTTCTGCACCATTCCCTAATTTCGATGTTTGCCATGTTTATTGGGAAGCAGAAATATTAAACTGCATGATAGACTTATTCCGACCCGAGTGACTCAAATTACATACCCTCTGAATTGAAGGATAACTCAGTTTTCTCACTTTTTTGTCACGATAATACTGCTCTGAGGCACTAAACCACGTGGTCCAACTATTTCCATTCTTTATGTAAGGCTCAAATTGCATCATATCAGTGACAATGAAAGAAAACTACTCGAAAGAGCTCATAAAATGTGAAACCTCACAATCATTCCCATTCACATTATCATAGGCGGATCCAGCAAATTATGACAACATTGTCTTCTCTCCATTTAAACCTATGGAAATGTATCGATTCTTGGAGGGGCCAGGTGCTCCCACAAGAATCGATTATTTAGATAGGTTTAAATGGAGGAAATTCGGTGTTGCCAAATCGCTGGATCCGCCTCTGCACATTATTGCAAATGCTTTAGCGTTACACACAAATCACTTCCTTAGTACACTCTAGTCTACTTCAGCATTAACGCCAATAAACTTGCAGCGAGTAAGATTGAAGGGGTTTTAAACGTCCGTTTCAAAGGTTGCTTGAAATATATCCTTGGTGCGTAGTAGTGTACATACGGGCGGTTAATTAAACAAGTAGTTTACAGTTGTTGTCGTTGCAAGACTAATGATGTCATGGATAAGATCTTAGTTTCATTTTACAAATCTAACTCTGACATTGTCAATTGAAACGAAAATCATTTCATTTGCTCACACATGTCATACAATGAGCAATGTGGTTGATGTGGCGAGCAAGAAGAGATGCAAAACAGAAACTATATTTATTTTCCAAATTTAACAATTAACATTCCTAGATTCAAAATCTGCAAAGAATTAACGATGTAGCTAATGGTTACAATGCATTAGTTCCGAGAATGATTTCTCTGCAACTATACATAGCTATTTCAAGTGTTTCAAGTTTAAATTTACACAATTTACTTACGAATATCAAAAATAATATCTAAGTTCAGGAACTTGTCTATGTCAATGATTATGACACAACATGAGAATCATCAAACATTAATTTTATACATTTATCTACAAATCCATGGGCATGTCAATGCTCGTGATATTAGCTGCACTTTGTTCCTAGAGGGCCGCTTTTTGTGACCCACCCCCATGTGCCACTGCTTTTGAATTACATCGAGGATTTGCTACAACTACATACTACAAACTGGATCTTCGGCATAAATTTCCATATAATTTCAAGGTTTAATGGGTCGTCTCCACGCATGCCCATGATAATATGTTTTCTCTCACTTTGAATTATAATTGCATTTTTGAGTTCTTAGTAGCCTTAGTTGGACTTTTTTGGATTGTAAGTAGGCAAAAAAGGGATGTACGAAGTCCATTTCCACCTGGAAAAAATAAGAAATTATTAAAATAACTAGAAATCAGGGGTACTTAAACAATGAATGAACCCCTCCATCTTTATTTTTTCTATACCCTACCTCTCCTCCACCCCACCGATATTTTGCTTTTTCATTAATATTCTCTTCTTATTATTCTTAATATTCGTCGATTCTCTGGTAAAAAGTACATTTTAAAGTAATTCGGTTTTTAATGCATGCAACTCGAGTCATGCAGGTAATACGCCCCCCGTCAAACTGTTCTAGGATCCTAGAGAATTACCAGGGGGGGGGGTTCCTCTCTGGAGCGAGTGCTTTCTAGAGAGGACCTTAACTTTCACCCCTCTTATTATATAGAAATATTTTCCAATATTCCGTCGAAGGGCAAGCTCTCGCCTAAAGCGGAAAGATTTTTATACGAACTCTTTCATAATTGAATTAGCGGGTCTAAAATTACTTTTTAAAAGACAATATTGAGATCTATACACGGAATATTCGTATTAAAAATTTTAAAATCCGTCTTAAAACTACATTTTTTGCATCGTTAAATCAGAAATCGTAATTACGCTGAGGTTAAACATTTTTGAGATGGTTTATTTGCCGCAAGTCGAGATATTTCTCTGTGCGGTAATGCCGCTAAATCTTGGTTTTGATTTTTTGACTCTCCAGTCCACTTTCCTAAGGACAATTACACTTTTTGTTACTCATTATCCTGAGCATGAGTAACTTGAAACTTACCTTCTAAGTAAGGACATTCCCACGGGCCAATCGTAGGTGCTCTTTTCGCCTGACACAGTCGGTTCTGCTTCCAGTTTCATCTGGTTTGCCCATGCGATTAATCCACGATCTTCAGGAGTTCCTGATAGACAACATAAATATATATGCAAATGACTTTCCAATATAGGAATGATATAAAAAGATTTTGACGCAGAACTTACGCCAGAATATCACATTTGGCTATATCGAATTGACAAGGTCAGGCAACATAATCTTACAGTGTTTTAACCTTTAGACACGAGTCACACTATTCCATAAACAATATGCCCAAATAGTCAGAATAAGTACACTGGAGAATTCATTTTTGATCGGCACAGCAGATTCACTTGCGTGTTTAACCGTGGACTCCAAAGAGAGGTTTCGCAAACAAGGGTCAACTTATGCAAAGGGAAAAAAAGAAAACAAATACTGGAGGGTTTACATTCCAAAGCTCCTGTTTGACATGGACATGGACAACATTTCGCAATGAGAAACTACTATATGTCCGGCTAATTTTAGGGACAACGTATGTGCCTTTCATATTCCAATGCAGATAGGTGCTTTTACGGCTGAGCCAGAGATAGAAGTTCCTTATTGCAGAATGCAGTCTGTATGATTTCTGATAAATATGTTTACCCGGTATGATGTGATCTAATATACATCCAGTTGCTCCTCCGACCAAGATACTGGTGCTCAGCAACACCGTGAGAATATTATCTGCAACAGCGTTTCCGGTTTGAATAGCACCTGGGTTCGCCTGCATCCATTGTGGCAGCACCTAAAATTGCATTTTTAGAAAAACTTGAAATGAAATATTTGCAATACATATCTAGATCACAACTTGTTTAGCATGGAACACGTGGCTCACGTTTAGCATGTAACGCGGTAGCATGTTCCTGAGAAGACAGCTAGTCTATCCAAAAATGCATCAACATTAAATGAAAGAGCGAAAATTTTCTGTGCCGAATCCACAGGCTGAAAGAAGTCGTTCTTAAATAGTTCCCTGAAATCTGCGCGAGTTCCGAGCTTTTACCAATCGTTGAGAATGTGTGACTGGGGTGCAGGGCAAGGCCCTGCCTAACTACGAGGGCGCGCTTTTACTTCATATGGTCATATGTTATTTATTTATTATTATTATTATTATTTTTTTTTTTTTTCGAAAAATTTGACTGAGTGAAATTGTTTGCTCTACGAAATTATTTGAGTGTCGTTCCTCTCTATAATACAATAGACTCACCAACGAGAAAAACATTGAAAATCCGATGATGTACAAATTGCGCGATGCATTGAGATTGACGTACTGCAAGGCCGATAAACCTGAAACAAGTTTTTAAAAGAATCGGTCTATTATTGACACTCATTGATCAGTGTAGTGAGAAAAAAGAAAAAATAAGAAAAAAACTTTTAGGGGCTCATTGTTTCAAAATGAATAATTATAATGCTATGTTGTGGCACATCAGAAGGATTTCATGTTTGTAAGCACTGCATTTATCAATAATAAAGTACCCGAATGAGCATATACGTGCATCATCGCATATAAGTTACTTCGCTTACCAAAAGCTGTTATCATCCCGAACATAACGCAGAAAATGCCACCAATGACAGGCTCCGGAATGATGATGAAAACCGCTCCAAATTTATTGATCACTCCCTGCAGGAGCATGAGAATGCACGCATATTGAATGACTCTACGGCTACCAATCTGTAAATTTACAAAATAATTCTCATCAACAATGGTTTTATGGAGTGAAAGATCGGAGCTGAACTTTTGACACTCCTTCGACCCAGGGTTGCAATTTTTCATAAGAAGTGAAGTCTTAAAATTTCGTGTGAAATATTTCATGAAATTTCAGAAAAATATGAAAGAAATTCAAAAATATTTTTCAATAATATAAATTTACTGCAAAGTTAACTGAAAAGCCAATGGTTCTTGACTTTGGGTGTTTTTTTAATGCATTTTATTAAATTGTTTTAAATTTCATGAAATATTTGAGTAAAATTGCTCGCAATGAGCGTTCAAATTTCTCTAGAATGGTAGTTAAATCCTCCTAAATCGGTTAAAATTTCCCTCGGATTTACTTACTTGCCGCCCATGGGCCGCCTGTATTTTGCCGCCCCCTTCTCATTCGTTTCGAAACATCCATAAAAACCACCAAGTGAACGTGCCGGAGGGGAGGGGTGCATAAGACGCGTTTATTCGTGTTGGACACATTTTTTGCGAAAGCCCTGTCAACACTACTGACAAAAGTGCACGACACTTGGCGCGAAAGTTAAGTTCCGTAAACCTATCTCTGTGTGGACAAGGCCTTCCATTTATATGAAAATGAACGAAAAAATTATGAAAGAACAAATATAAATGTGGTTTAATAATTTTAACTTCCGCCACCGCGCCGCGCTGACCGCACTGTGTTTGCGCAATGCGTGAAGTATTCCGACAGTCTTGTAGGCGCTGTGAGTTTCACGCCGACCGCTGCATGCTGAACGCACTGCATGTGTTTGACGCAATGCGTGAAGTATTCATGCAGTCTTGTAGGCGCTATGCGTTTCACGTCGCCCGCCCGCTGCTGACCGCAGCGACCGCACACTGTCTTTGACGCAATGCGGGAAGTATTCATGCATTCTTGTAGGCGCTAATATGTGTTACATGCCGACCGCCGCGCCGCGCCGCGCCGAGGGTTTCTTCTTTTCATCTCAAGTTCTCGTCATCATTGCTCTCTGCGCAGCGCCGTTCTAGGCCAAATTCCGTGTTCGATTTCTCTCTTAGTCTTAACTCGACAAATTAAAGGTGCTGTCTATTGTATCACAAAGAGACGAAAAAATTAGATATATACTCTTAGGAAATGAGAGATTTTGTCACCTTTTCTCGTTTGTAATTTTTTTTCGGAATCCAATTTTTCTTTATAGCTACATTTTAAAAAAATTGCAAAATTTGCCGCCCCCTAAATTTGCCGCCATGGGCCGCGGCCCATGTGGCCACCCCCTAAGTCCGGCCCTGGGTTGTTGCCCCTTTACCTTTGTCACTCCTATCGCTCCGACATTCTCGCCGAACGTGTTCGTACCGTTCCCGCTTCCCCACAGACCAGCAAGCACTGTTCCCAGTCCTTCTGTACCAATGCCTCGATTAATAGCGTGAACCGGTGGGGGTGGTGCTCCTGTGAACTCATAGAGGAAAAAAATCAAAATTTTTTGACACTGGATTAGAATTTTTGTGGGGGTATTCAATCCATGCATTTTATATGAAACATCCTCTAGAAGCACGATGGTGCTATTACACGGAGAACAATTTTTTGTAGGATCAATAAGAATTCCAATTAATAATTTTTGGATTGTCTTGGATTGGTTGTCTTGATTGACTTGTTAAGTCTTGAAGTTAAGTTTAAAAAGGCAAAATGTGAAATGTTTGCAGCTTTTATCATCTATGCTTCATTTGCGAAAAGTTCCTCCGGCCTCGATCTCCTTTTTTAGGTACAATCGCTAAGGCCAACATTAGGCCGATTTGTTGAATAAAAAATAAACAAGAGGCCATAAGCTTTCCAATGTTGGCGGCAGTTGCAAAGAAGAAAAACAAACATCTAACTGGTTGCCGAATATGCCCAATATGTCCCCGGCCCAATGTTGTACCAGGTGGCCCAAAGTTGGCCTTACTGACTGTAAAACAAGCATTGCCCATAATGTCTCAAAATTCTGTCTAACAGTAAGGATGATTAATTTTAATACATTTTTTGACTGCGATTTTCAAGGTACCTACCACACATTTTGGCGGTCGTAGGATAGTAACTGATAGATTCCACCGTGCAGGCTAGCACTCCAGCTAACATTCCGAGGACGCCAGAGGCACTGACCGTAGGTATTCCCCATTGACCTGAAAATCGTGAATTTAATGGATGAGGAGCTTTTACATATACATACATAGCAAGTCGTCCTGAGCTTTCGGCGTGAACTAATGAGTAACCCCCCCCCCCCCCCCCCC